CAATTTACTGATACTAGATTAAATGATGTCACTTTCATCTTCATGGTTAAAGGCATCTGTCCTCTCTGAGATACACAAAATGGGAGATTAGTCCCACATCAATCCTCAAGTGGCTGCTCAGGCCGGTGGCATATGCAAGGCCACCTGTCAACACACAAATGCCACATGGAGGGGCAAGGCCTGCACAAAATCCCAGAATTCAAAGTTTCTGTCTCTCTGTGACTTTCATAAAAAGCGTATCATTGACTAAGAAAATATCCACCCATACTTACACAGGAGTATCTTTCTTTTTTTTTTTTTCAGAACTGGGGATTGAACTCAGGTCCTTGCACTTGCCAGGGAAGCACTTATTCCACTGAGCCATCTCCCCAGCCTCCCCCCCCCATCACAGGAGTATCTTTGCAAGGAGCACTATTATAGCAAAAAACATAAATCTAGTTTTCATTTCCAAGAGTTTGTCACTGAATTGCATCCAAATGACGGCCACATTTGCATCCGTGTTGTTGTACCTGGACAAGCTTTTTGCTTTGATTTTTATGCACAATAGAAGAGGGTGATTTTTAAAAGAATGTGGAATTCCATATGCTTAATACAGTTCAATTTTAGATATTTATGGTATGTTTGGTACTCTGCATGCAAACAATTATTTTCCTCTTTCTTATGTTTTTTTGTTTCTAATATAACTGATAAAAGTTCCTATGAAATCTCCCTTCTTTTTAAAATGCAGTTTTTCCTATAGCCAGTTTCACAACTTTCATTTACCTTTCTCTCATTATTTTCAAATTGTTTTGCTTTGTATACTCTAGTAACACCAAACACTGTTACACCAGAGAATACCGTATCCATTAATCTCTTAAAACTGTGTACTGGAATTTTCTACCAAATAAATGAACATAAACTATGAGCAAGATATTGAAGGTCACATGTTAGTAGGGAAATTTCAACTGAATCTGTGACATATCTGCATATGCAGAATTAAAGTGTTATCTTTTAAAAATTAATTGGATTGCTGACCCAATAGCTCAGCACACAAAGCGCCTGCTTAGGCAGAGCACAGCAACTGGGGTTCGATCCCTGGAGTGCTGTGCCAACCTTGGCCCCGGGGTGCACTGAGATGGAAAATGAGACTGGGCATGGGAGTGCATGCCTGTAATCCCAGCGCTTGGGAAGCTGAAAACAGGAGAATCTCTCTGAATCTGATCTACGTAGTGAGACCCTGTAGGCCTTGTACTAAAACACATTTTTTAAAAATTAATTGAATTAATCTTTGATCCATTTTTAATTACCACAAAAATTCAATCTAATTTTCTTTTTGATCAGTATGACATGTCACTGAGATACAAGAAATAAAAGGTGGAGATTGGTTAACATTATTTTCTTTGTCAGCAAAAATATTATTAGTTCTGCCTTACTTGGCACTGACCTTAGCGTGGAAAGGTAAAGGTTTAATGAGCTGATCACTGTGGGGTGACATATTCTTGTACTTGGTTTTATTTATATTGTCTTAGTTATAATCACACCAAGAGACTTTTATGGAAGAAAACTTAAGATACTTAAGTTTAGTGTTTATGTAAATAAACGAAATTCTCATTAGTTTTATACTTGCATGTTCCTAAAAGACATAAAATGAGACAATTACTCTCTTTAAATGCTTTTGGAGAAAATGACTGAATTTTCTGATATTTGGGGATGCTTAAGTTTTACACAGATGTCTGTCTTATAAAAGTAAAATTATGACCTAGTAATGGCAATACATTCTGTGTGAACACAAATGTTTATAAAGTATGTGAGTGAAATAAACACTCAGTGACTGCTGTTGTCCTACATCTGTCACAGAAAAGAAGGGTGTGTACTTAAATACATGCAGTACATGTGCATTAAATACGTGCATAGCCATTTATATGTCTAGGAACTAGAATTAAATGTATAAAATCTTCATGGACGTTTCCTCTGTAGTGCAATATGGATGCTCGTATTTTCTTCATAATTTATCACATTTTCTACCTTCTCTGTAAAGAAAGTCATCGACTTAAAAAATGTTTAACTCATTAACTTTCCACCCATCTTTAGTCTATTTTAAATTAAACTTGCTTTTCTCCTGAATACTAGCATGTAAGTGAATTATTTGTATAATTCTCCTTTTTAAAAAGAAAAGTTATGCATAAGCACGCAAGTTGTTCTTGGCAGCTGAGCTCTTCTGCCAAGCTTTCTCTGATGCACTGTGAGTCATTAAACATCATATTGGGAAATGTCCATGTATGATCAGATACGCTTGGGTAAGTCACTGCCTTAACCCCTTAATTAGGTGCAACAAGTGTGACACAAAGGCAGTCCCCTGGGGAAAAATGCTGTGCAGGAAAAAAAAAATAGAGAAATCCTCTCTAAATCACCTTTCTCCTTCTCAGCACCATTAAGGCAGTTAACAGAACACCTAACTAAACTCATACTGAGAAGCAACTTAGCATACTTTTAAAGAACTGAATGATAGCAGGCCTCTGGCTTTATGGCATAAAAATGTCTCCATTCACTACTGAATGTACGTGTCCATTCCCTTTGACAGCTATTTTGTCCAAATGTTGTTCCCCCTGTTTTATCATACCTTAACCTAAGTCATGAAGTGCATGACCTTTTCTATCCCTGTTGATAAGATGTCAAGAGTGGAACAGAATTCTCTGCTCCCGTCTTCTACTTGCTCAGCTATCATCTTTCTGTTCTGTGCACTAGCAACTGAGAGCATGAAGCACAGAAAGAGACAGAGAGAGAGGAGAGAGACAGAGGGAGAGGAGACAGAAAGAAAAGAGAGACAAAGAGAGGAGAGACAGAGAGAGGGGAGAGAGAGAAGAGACAGAGACAAAGAGAGAAGAGACAGAGACAGAGAAGAAACAGAGAAAAGAGACACAGAGAGAGGTGAGAGGGAGAGAGAGAGAGAGAGAGAGAGAGAGAGAGAGAGAGAGAGAGAGATTCATTAGTGGCTTCATTCACTGGCATTTTGGGAGGCAGTCACCCTCAGATTTGAGAGTAGAGAAAAATGATCTGTATCCAGTTCTGCGTACTCTCTAGAGGCCACGAGGACTAGAAGCCACAAGTTGTAGAGATAGATCTGTCTCCAGGTCAGACAGCTGCTGTTGATCACTGCCTGTGAGATGCAGGCTGAAATTGGCGCCGCACTGTAGTAGAGGAGCAATTGCACGACTAAAGCCAGCTTACACATGGGGGAAGGTGCAACTTTACTAAAGCCATAGATCCCAGTCGAGCTGAGCCCACCTGGGGTGCTGCAGTCCAGTGTCTTTGTCGCTGCCTAATCTCCCACCTTGTCTACCCGGAGACCTAAGCTAAAGAAAAACACGCAAAGGCCAAAACTGATTGACAGGTCGAAGAGTGGCAACCAAACAACAAGATTTAAAATGTCACCAGACCAATGCTAAAGGATTTCTTCAGTGCTTTTATATTACCAGAGAAGGCTACATGTCACTTTATGTCTGTTCTCGTATAAAAGAGCATAAAGACATGTGCATGTTTCTCTTTATTTCCTAATTACATGGCTTGGAAAACTGCATTCATGGGTGAGCAGTATTTTTAATACATAGCTTATTCTCAAATTCATAGTTAATCTATCTTAATTTCAACTATTAAAGTAGCAAGAACATAATTTAAGGGAAAACCCCCAAAAATCTGAAAGTACTACTGTAGTAAATACAATTTAATTCAAAAAATGCCAAATGCATGCATGTACATGACGCAATCAGAAGAAGGGCTGCTCGGTCCTAATGTGACTGAAGGACTAATTGTGCAATGAGAATGTTTTTAGCTCTGTAAATCAATATGGTCATGCACCAGTGAACATAACCAAGAACCTGTACTAGAGGCAGAGGAGCTAGTGTCTTAGAAACCTCTGGGTGTAACTACAATTACAGGATGTCTGAAGTCAGTCATGGAAGTTAAAATAATTATTGTGGTCACTGTCTGGATTTATAAGAGAGTTGAGAAGGAAAACACGGGTGTCGGCAGGGCACAGTGACACCCATCAGGGCTCTGCTGTCAGTGCCTTGCTTTGCCATCCCCACTGCAGTCAATCCTTTGGATGTCTTCTGCCTTCAACACTCTGTGTCTCTTCTCTTCGCTCTTCACTGTAACATGTGAATCCAGAGATTCAGATTTCTGCTACTCCAAGGCATCTGGTCACTGACATAGCAACATGCAGGGCAAATATTGAGAGGGAAAATAAAAGAGGGAAAGAGGAGCAGAAGAGAAGAACGTTGAGAATACTCCAATGATAGAGATGATAGCTCGATTACCTGGGTGCCTCCAGGGAGCGAGGGAGTGAATCTTAAATCCTGGGAAGAGCAATATAAAGCTTCTCTCAGTTCTCATCTGTACATTTTCTCACAAGGCAAAAATGCATAAAACAATTTAGCTTTAAGAAACATGAACTGATTTTGTGAACTATTTACTACTTGTGTTATTGCTGTGTAACATGCTGAATCCGTTAAATTACTAAAAGCATGTTAAGTTGCCTTTGCTATAGTCAATTTTATGGAACATCTACCTACAACTCCTTGGGCTTAAGGTATTAGAGAATATATTGTATTTGTGGGATTTGGCCTCAAAAGTAGTTTTCTTGGCTTAAAAGAAATGGTGGTGATAGCAATATTTCATATAATATATATATGATATATATATATATGTATATATATATATATATCATATATATATATGTATGACTGGCCTTGGTGATGCATGCCTGTAATCCCAGTGCTTGGGAAACTTAAAACAGGAGGATTGCTATGAGTCTGATCTGTATAGTAAGACCCTATAGACACTGTCCTAAATACATACATACATATATATACACGTATATATATATAACAGTTTATTAATAATATATGGAAAGATTGTAAAATACCATGTGTTCTAGATATGTCAATCCTGGATGCCTGTTTCTGTAATAAACATTTAAGTGTGAGTTAGTTAACTAAATAAATATTTGTTTCTCATTGCAGGTATATAGGATTTACCAGACCCTGGACAAAGTACCTGGGAAGTCTTTAGATGACATAATCAACTACCATTTCAAAGAAAAGAAACTAGATGGTTTTAGAAAGTTCATGTTGTTTATTCACTCAATTTTAGGTAAGTGTGATTAAGATAAAAATTTAAAATGAGCATTGGACTATTTTCCTATAAAATATCTTTCTTCTTTGCATGGGAAAAACAAAGTTAAATATTATTGATGCCCTTCTGCTTCCTACTTTTATTGAGCTACCAGACAATGAAAGACTTCGTGTCTGTACCTGTCTGTTTATTATGATCAAAAACCACCTGAGGGGCTGGAGGGATAGCTCAGTAGAACGAGCGCCTGTCTGGCAAGCACAGGATCCTCAGTTCAATCCCCAGTACTGCAAAAAGACAAAAAAGTAAATAAAAAAGAAACCGCCTGAACTAGAGGTGTCTAACACAGAGACAGTCATTGCATCTCTTTCACGTATCTGTTAGGCAAAGATTTTAATACTTCATTCTATTCTAATGGTCATTTTATTTTTTAAAATACTGAAAGCATATCTATTATCAAAGTAATAGGCAAATTAAGATAAAATCATGTTTTAATGGCAAACACTGAAGGAAAATTGGCAATAGTTACAGTTTAATTATTAACACATCTGTGTGTGAGATAAGGAGAACATTCCAAAAGCTGCTTATTAGAGGCTTTTATACTGAAAGAAAGACATGGGTAAGGCCAGATGCACTGCAGTTTAAACTGCTATGTACAATTAGGCACATGCTTGTGTGCATGCACGCACGCACACACACACGCATATGCAGTAAGCTTCAGTTTGCCTAGCTATATGATAGATAAATATTAAATTTTACATCATAGTGTGGAATAATCTTTCTATATTAAAAAAGATATGCAATCACTTAAAAATTAGTGTTTAAATATTAGTCTGAAATATGTTGTGACAGTTTTCAGTGGAACATGATAGAGAACCCAGGGGGGTTCTGTGTGACTGTGTGACTGCCCAGGTCCTCCTTTAGTTCAGTTTTCCAAGTGTGTCTTTACTGTCTACTTGAAGAATGGTGTTATGTGGTACATCACAATATACCTGAGCTCGTTTCATGATAAAAACATGCAAGTGACAGCGTTAAAATGAAAGTAGGCAATTCTTTCATGATTGTAATGGTATGTGAATTTGGCTCATTGAGATTCGATATAAAACTACAGTGGAGATTTCAGTAATTTTTAGGATGTTTGTTAAATGCAGTTCCTAAGAGTTAAGCTGAGTGCTTTTTAAAAATTCAATAAATCAGTTTGTTCAGGGTAGCAGTGACTGTGGAGGAGAAAGTAACACCGGAAAACTTATTTTCTGGTCTTTCTCCTCCAGCTGCACTCATCTGCATGTGTTTTTACTGTAAGATCTGCTCTTTGCCAAGCTCCTGCTTTGTTCCGCGGGACTGATCCCTGTGGGCTGGTTTTCCAGCCCCAACACTGGCCACCTGCTTCCCCAAGTGACCTTGAACTCTGAACTTTAGCAACAGTAGCTCTTCCCTTAGTCCTCTGAGTATTGTGGGTAACCATGCCTCTGGCTTTCTACTGCTTTTAGTCTTTAAATTGATTGACTTTCCACAGTTTAACTTCTCAGTTTGCCCATCATCCATTTAACTATTTTCTGGGATACAATTGCATACTTTTTAAATACTTAGAGTATTTTCTCTTGTCGTAGTTGGGTCTTAATTAATCCATCAATACTTCATTAACTTCTTCCAAAATTATAGAAAGTAAAGTGAGCAGGGATTACTTACATCCCCCAGGAAAACAAATGATTTCCCAGACATAATTGAAATTTACATGTAAAATTGGGGAGGTTCTTGGTATTTCTAAGCCTTTACATGAAAGTAGGGACATATCTCTGTGTACTCTCACCAAGGGTTTATCAATCAAATTAAGCATAGAACATTACACAATTCCTCTAGATGTCCTCCTAATACTGTCTTTCAGTTGATTTTTCGAGAAGAAAACAGTATCCTGGTTTATATCATTATTGACTAGTTTTGCTTGTTATAGTATGTCTTATACCAATTGATCAATCCTCTTTTGAAATTAATAAATTTTCCTTTTTTAGAAAAATTTGTGGTTTTCAGCAAAATTTAGGCAAAGATACAGACTTTTCGTATACCTCCATATACACCCCTCCAAAACACCTCTCAACAGACATGTCATTGCCCCCTGAAGTCCACGGTTTACACTAAAGTTCACTCTTGGTGATGTATATTCTTCCTGTTCTGACACAGTAATTTCACTGCCTTAAAAAACTTCCCTAGTATTACACACTGCTATCTTCAGTACAGTTGCTTAGTCCACAGGTATCAGCATATAAATGACTGGCAAAGGAAAACACATCTCTGACAAAAGTAAACAAAAAAAGGGGATATAAATGAAGGACCATTTTGTAGTAAAACAAATCTATCTATCTATCTGTACATACAAAATAGTTAGCACAGATATACAGCTACTTAGTTCAATGAGAAGAAAGTTTTAAATAGTGTTTAGACAGGATATCATGTCTGCATCTTGTACTATGAATGACTACTGCAAAGACAACAACATGCAGTGCATTAATTATTGTAACTGTCCTACTAACCTGTTTTGAAACTGTCTCACTGCTACTTCTTTCTCAATAAAATTATTTTTTAAAAAATCTTCCCACCCACTAACCCCTGACAACCACTACATATCCACAGTTTTGCCTTTTCCAAAATGTCATGTGGTTAGAATCACAACATGGATAGTCTTTTCAGGTTGACTTCTTTCACCTAGAAATAAGCATTTAGGCTTCCTCCCACTCTCTTAATGTCTTGATAACTCATTTCTCTCAAGCACTGAATAATATGCCATTGCCTGCAAGTGTCACATTTTATTTATTTATTCACCCACGGGAGGACATTTCACTTGCTCCTGAGTTTTGCTGATCATGAATAAAGCTGCTATAAGTATCAGTGTGCAGGTTGTTTGGAATAATAACTTTTTTGTTTATTTGGGTAAGAACTGCCTTCCTATGTGGTTGTATCATTTTGCATTTCCAACAACAATAAGTAAGTATCCTGTTGCCGAAGATTTGCACTAGAGTTTGATGTAGTCAGTATTTTGGATTTGCGTAGCTATTGTTCTACTTAGTGATTCCCAGTGATATTATAGTGAACATCTTTGCCTGTGCTTATTTGCCATCTTTTTTGATGAGATGTTCACCCAAGTCTGGTCCACTTTTTAATTAGATTATTAATTTCTTTGAGTTCTTTGTGTATTTTGGATAACAATGCTTTATCAGCTAAGTTTTTTGCAAACATTTTCTCCACTGTATGGTTTATATTTTCTTGAAAGTTTGAGGTATTTTACATTGGAAAAACACTGGCATAATTTATTTAAAACCATATTCTATGCTATGTAATTTTATAACATTAATTGGTTCTTATTAAGGAAATTATTGTCAATCATCCCATTCTGCATGTCAAATTAGCAGGAAGGTTTTAAAATCTTACGTGTATATGGCAAATACGATTTTTTTAATCTTCACATTTTATAAACTTTAGTATGTAGACTTTAAGAACTTCTTGAGGTACCAGTCTCATTCTAACATTCACATTTAAATCTAGGGCTTATGATTTATTTTATCATGGATAGGTCTACCTGTAGTTGAGAGATCTGGTCTCTCTTTTAATAATGGTTCTTGGTACACACAAAGGCCCTCTGATCTGAGCATTTCACCTTTCCTCCAATAAATACAGAGTACGTACCAAGTGGGCAGAGGGGCAGTGTTTCCTCTTTCTCGGCAAGTTCACAATTCAACCTGTCACAACAATCCCCTCCATTTTAAAGAGTTTCCTTGGTGTTAAAGTAGCTTTTCACTTAATCTTTTTGGCATCTTACTTAGTTATTTTAAATGTAAGTGCTTTGTTATTTTCATTTCCTTCTGATATATTTATGTAGACATTCTCCTTTTTGATTTTTTGCTTAGAGGCTATCACAAATGCTCATTTGTCCCTTTTAATGTACTGTGGCTTTTCTCAAAAGGACATGGTGTCCCTTCTACCACCAGTTTCATCTATTCAACCAATGTTAATGTCAAGCCTGCAATGCCTAATTTAGAATCCTTTCAGACAGTATGCAAAAAGCCATCATGAATCGAGCAGAATTATGTGGACTCTTTCATAATCCTGAGCTAGGAGATACAGAGATGAGCAGTGTTATGTGGTTTAAAAGGTAGTGAATAACTGATGCTCCCAGAACAAGTCTCCCCCTTAATTGGGTACAGCACTGAAGATTCCAAATCATGGACATTTCTCTCCTGCATATGGAAATCAGTTTATAAAGCTTTAATTTTTTTTGAAAAAAAGTACTTTGGGGAAAGAAAAGCATATCTATCAATACCATAGCCTACCTAATATGTAAGTCTAATGAATTTTCCAAGAGACCTCTAAGGAAAGGATATAGTCATTTTGCTTTAGAAAGTTTGGTGCATGTCAGGAGGAGTCCACTTAGACTGGCTAGATCTTGCTGTCCTTTTGAGAGAAAAGAGTAGGAAGAATAGAGGTGTTCATGCTCACAAAAATAAACATTGTGATAGTAGATTATAAATCACTAGTGCTCAAATAGTGCAAGGAATTGCTATAAGCACAATGAAATCTATAGCACTACTGCTGAATAACAGTGCATGATGTGTGGGGGAAACACATGTTTGTGAAGGCAACAGTCATCCAGTATCCACTGTGTAGTTTTGAAAACCAGCACAGTTTTTGACACACTGTTGATATCTTGTAGATAAATCATAAATAAGGACACAAACACAAAGCAATACTGGCTACGGCTGAGTTTCTAATTCATGCCAGACATTTTTCTATACACATATGCTTTGTTTCATAAATAAACACCCTGTGACATAGGCATCATTATCTGCTTTTTTAAAATACACAGCACTGAAAACTAAATAACATGCCCAAGGTTCAGTAAGTTGGGGTGAGCACTTGGATCCAGACAGTTTGGCTTCAGAGCCTGAGCACTTAATGATTATGCACTACTGTCTTTAATGTAATATAACCACTAAGTAATTTTAAAACACAGAAGCAGCAATTTTATGATT